GATGTGTAAGTCCATGTGTAAGTCCATGTGTATCACACAAAATAAGAGAAAATATTGCACATAGGCTGCTTTATATTATATTTTATTTCAAGAAATATTATAACGTCCCATACATGTTAAAGTTTTAGTCGTGAATTCTGTCATACCAGCATAAGGAGGTTCAGTGGTACAGTGGTTATACACTGCTGCTACTTGAGAAATCAATGGTTCAAACCATAAGCCACTTCACAGGAGAAAGATTATGGCAGTCGGCTCCCATCAAGATTTGCCACCTTAAACACCCTATAAGGCAGTTTTTCTCTGCCCTATATTGCATCTCTAAGAGTTAGAATTCAGTTCAGTAGTAATGTTGTTAGGTGAGGCGGAGTCAACTACAACATGGTAATGCTGTTGTTACGGGCTGTTGAGTGGGAGTCAAATCATAGCTGACCCTACAGGAGGTTTTGAGAAGAAACAAATTTCCTTCTGAAAAATGGGAGGAGTTTGCTCCCCCTTCTTCCTCAGAGTTAAAGATAGGGGAATACACAGCTAGTGAGTTTGAACTTCATGCCCTTCTGACTGCAGCACAGGTTCTTAACGCTAGACCACCAGAAGGCTTGTTTGGGTATTTGTTTGTTTTTTCAGTTAAAAAAAAATGTAATGTATTTGCTAGGATTTAACCATTATTTTAACAATTGAATGTTGTGTTCATTTTACTGGTCTATTTTCAAGGAATGGGGCAAAATATAATGTTTCTAGAATTAATTCCAGAGAGTAATAAATATAATGGAGAATGTGCGTAAGTTTGTAGTTTGTTGTTTTTTTTTTTTATTTATTTTTTTTCTTTAATAAAGTGACTAACTTTGGGAGAAAAGCAGGGAATAAAAATGATTTTTCAACAACCCACACAACCTTGGATTTTAAGAGAAGCCTTCTTCAATACTTTTCCTACTGCAGTGTTTGTTGTTAAAGGAAGTCTGTGGGTGGATAAGATGTTATTATCCCTCCTACATACACCCTTTTTCTTATTTATGACATTAAATCTCCATGTATATAAGTACTTGAAACACCAGTCCTTTTCTTCCAACTAGTTTCTGAAATCCTTTAGAATTTGGTCCACAGAGTAACTCCTCATACCATATTTCACTGATATTTATATTTTGAATATTCATTCAAATATTAATATACCCAAAAAAGGTTATTTGATGTACCTTTGCTTTCCCAACTTACACATTTTATTTCAAAACAGAGTACAATAAAATCAAGTTTTATGTTCAAAACTTATAATACACAGCATTAATGAGTTTCTTGACTACTAAAACAAGAGGATATTGTCACTGAAACAGGAAAGCCCAATTTCAAGATATGTTAACAAGTGTTTTTTGCTTATTATTCCAAAATTGCCTTTATGAATGAATGCAAATTTGTTAAAGGCACAAAAATATATTTAGGTTTATAAAGTTAATTTTTAGGCACAAAAAGTTAATTAAAGGCACAATAATATATTTAACCTAAATAAAGTTAATTTTTTACATTTTTTTTCACTTGAATAAAGAGACCAATATTTGATGATTATAAAAAACTTTACAACATGTTGTTGTTATGTGCCATCAAGTCGCCTGTGACTCATAGCGACCCTGTGTAAAACAGCTCTGAACCCTGCTCTATCCTGAGCCAACCTTATTTTCTCTGACACATCTATCCCCATTACTCCAGTCACTGAGTCAGTCCATTTCATTGAGGACTTCCTATCTTGCACTGTCCCTCTACCCTCTCAAACAATGTCTCCTCTCCAAGGACTGGTTCCCTCCTTGTAGCATGCTGAAAGTACGTCAGACGGAGCTTCAGAATACTTTCCTATAACATATACTGACAAATTAACACAAAATCAATGAAATGTTTACATCCCTTTTATACTGTAGTAAAATTTTTTCTTCAAATGCAGTAAATGACAGACATGTTACAGTGCAAACACACTAAGCTTTAAATATTCTAAAAATATTCATGTCTAACCTTCATTACTAATGCAATATATATTCATGTAAAAATTGAGGGCTATTAAAAAAAGCAAAAACGTATGTATTTTAAAATTAATTTGTAATTGACATCAAGATTTAATATCATTTTTAAAAAGTCACCCATTAAACATGTTTTAGAAATTAATATCTTCATTTAAACATTAACCATCCAAAATACTTATAAGGATACCTAATTATTAACTAAATGTACATTTTTTGGAATATATCCTATAATCTAATAAGCACCTCAGAACTCTTAGAGTAGTTACAGTTATGACAACCGATTATTCAAACAATCATAGTTAATCTCATCAGTAGTTGTTAATTCAAAAGAAATTTACTCCTCTACTTTGATACCTTGGTTACAACTCAATCAATATACAGGTGGCAAATCTAACCTGTATATAGTAGAGATAATAACTCAACTCAACTCAACTCACTGCCATCACGGCCAGAGAGTAACTGACCATACAGGTGGTTTTCAGAAGCTGTAAATTCCATAGGAGCAGCTGGTGGATTTGAACCACCTGCCATTGAGCTGGCAGTGCAACTCCTTAGTCACTAGGCCATTAGAGCTCCCTACTATAGATGACAAGTCAAATAAAAGTTACGTGCAACTTAACACAGACAGAACCCATGTATTTCACCCTAAATTAGGATTTTAGGTTCAGATTATTAAGCTTTTTGCACTATCTTTTAACAGAATAAAATATTTCAAGAAAATGAAAGCCATCAGTACTTCAGTGCAACATAAAACAGACTAGAAAAAATATAATGTGGCCCAAATAGACACACACACACACACACACACATTAAGTCTCTGATTTTTTTTTCCTTAAACAGTATACAAGTAGGAGTAAATATTCATTACCAAAACCTTCAGAACTACAAGATTTCACAGAATGACTACAGTTACGAATTAAATATTTATTATAGCATATAATAATAAATATTATATATGTTACACACACACATAAATGCATATATCTCTCAGTAGTTTGGGTCTCAGTTGCTAACTGAAAGGAACTTACCAATAGTTCTGAGACAATTCGAGAAAAGGGGGAGGGGAATCTATTGCAATGTAGTTGATTTAGGCTCAAATCAATCCTTTAAGATGGGACAGAAGTGACCTATAGTGTTTTCAAGGTTGTTATTTTTACAGAAACAGGCTTCCACATCTTTCTCATTGCTAAGTTTGAACCACCAACTTCTCTTTAGCAGCTTAACGTTGCACAACCAGAACTCTAGCAGAAGGTGGAGGGTGATCAGTTAATGCTTTTGTGAAAAGAAAATCTGTTCAAATCCTACAAATAATCTTACAAATTGTGTGTTGCATATGTCTGGGTCAGAAATGACCCTCCAGAGAGTTTCCAGAGACAGTAAATCTCATGAGAGGAAATTGCCATCTTTCTCTCTCAGAGTGGTTTGTGGATTCAAACTGCATACCTTTGAATTGACAGTGCACCTCCTTTCCACTAAACCACCAGAGCTGTCTTAGGAACGAGCTATCTAAACATAAACTTAAACACCTTGAAAATGCATAGGATTTTGTATACAAAAATATTCTTCCAAATGAAAACTGTTTAATATCTAATCTTTCTGTTGGTAAAATATCCACTGAAAGAAATGACTACCTTTTCATTAGTCTCTGTACTTTAAATTTAAATTACATTTAGGTTTAAATTTTACTTCTGGTCTCTTATCAATACTCTAAGGAAGCTTTTTCAGAAATATAATATCAGTTAGGAAAATAGCTTTGTTTTCTTAGCCAGCATATTTAAAAAAAAAAACACGAAAAATCCTAGGTCAACAGACTTGCCAACATCACTGAAGAGATAAGCAGTTCCTGCTCTGACAGTATTCAATTCTGTCTCCTGTTAATTTAAACCTTTATAAAAATGTTAAGAGATATACTCTTCTATTTGTATTCTCTGGGAAGTGCTAATTTGTTGGTTAAGTTTTTCTATACATAAGATAACTTGGTCAATCTTTTAAGCACTGCAAATAAATTGGTCAAGTTTTCATTACGGATCTTACTTATCTAACCCAAGACCTCTCTTCATTTATCTTTTATCAAATTATTACTTTAAAGCCAAATTTAATTTGTAATTATATATTTAACTGCTTTGGAATCATATGTTTAGAATCATGCCTTTATATAATTTGGAATCAATCATACAATAAATTGCTTAAAATGATTTAGTAATGTATTAATGGGTGGTTTTTGTGGGCTTCTATACTTTTTAAAATATTACTGGGTTTATATCTTGTTTTCTTGCTTTGTTTACACATATAAATTGGATGTTGTTTGTATTTCATAGGGAAGATCATTTTGCAACATATTTAATGAAGGTTCAACCCATAAATAAAATTTTCTACTTGGAAGTTAATCCATGAACTTAAAGTGTAAAATTGTCTCTTACCTTGAATACATTCTTAACCACATAAATAATAAAACAACACTTTTTATTAGTAGAAATAGCTATAGATTAACAAAACCAAAGAATAAAAACAGTATCTTTACATTCAGTGAGTTAAACTTTCTATTTTTATTTTAATAAACTAAGACTTCTTTGATTTCAAATTACATATTTGATAATTATTTTATCCACAGGAGAGTTACGTATGTGTTAATATTAGTATTTTTATAATTAGGCAGAGTTTTTATATATTTTCAAAACATGAACTCTTTCTGTTCAGCTAAATGTGTTTGGACACATTGGTTTGAGATTTGTACATTATGCAATTCTGTCTCAAAGACAGAAACAAACAAATGAACAAATAAGTAATGGACTTTTAAAAAGTATGATTAATAAATATAGTAAAGCATTTTCATGCCCTATATATTTGCTTAATAATGAGAATGTTAACTTCAAGTGTTAATTTTTCCTAACATGCTAAATATTAAATTGTCTGGCGTATCTGTAATAAATAATATAATAACGAGATATTCACAAAAATAGCCACTGTGAGTTTGTAAGTATATGAAAACGAAATTCCTACCTCCATCTCCAGATCCTGATCCTGCATCTGCAGAGGGAAAAAAAATAGGTGCTTGAAAGCATATTTTTTTTAAAAAGTTCAATTGGCTTTTAGTTCAAATTTGCAACCTTCATTTTTGTTTCTAAGATCATTGTTTGAGAAAACTACTAGTAATATAAAAATATATATCCACACTTATTTCATTCCATTCTTATATAACTTAGAAAACAATTTTCTAAAAAAAAAAAAGAAAACCATTTTCTTTCTTGAAGTTTATAAAGAAAGTATTATGATATTCGAAGTAATATCAGATTGTTGACTACATAACCCCCCCCGTTTTTATTCTAATCAGGCTGAATTTGGCACTCTTATCTTAGTGATGAAAAAAAATGCTTATAATAATCAGTGAGCTTTAGAAATTAAATAGCCTAAGACCTGTGACAAGTAAATTAATAATTAAGTCTTACATTCTTACAAATTGTATATGCATAAAGACAAGAATTTATATGTGAATATTGTTTTTAGATAATTGTTAACTTGCTTTTCAAAGCCCACATAGATTAATATATTTGCTTGTTGTAGTTGTTATGTGCCATCGAGTCCCTTGTGAATCAAAGTGACCCTATGTATAAAAGCCCTAAACTCTGCTCTATCCTGTGCCAATCTCACTGTCTCCAACACACCTACTCCCACTACTCCAATCACTTAATTGATCCATCTCATCGAGGGTCTTCCTCTCCTGTGCTGTCCCTCCACTCTCCCAAACATGATGTCCCTCTCCAAGGACTGATCTCTCCTTGCAAGAAGCTACAGAATATTTGGGCCCAAGGAGCAGCCCAGCTTTCCTCTCCAGGACAAACCTGATTGTTCTCCTAGCAGTCCATGGTATATTCAACACTCTTCTCCAGCACCACAGTTCAAAGGCATCAATTCTCTTTCTATAATTCCTAGTTACTGTCCAGCTTTCTGACGGAGAGCACACAATTGCTAAGACTATAGCCTGTATCAGGCCCACCTTAGTCTTCAGCCTGACATCGTTGCTCTTCAGTACTCCTGAGAGGTCCCTTCACAGCTGACTTTCCCAATCCAATTAGTCTTTTGATTTCCTGGCTGCTGTTACCAAGTGTGTTGGCTGTGGAGCCAAGTAAACTAAAACTGTTAACTATCTCACTGTCTTCACCATCCATACTGATGCTGCCAATTGGTCCAGAGGTGAGAATCTTTGTTTTCTTGATGTTGAGCTTCAATCCGTATTGAAGGCTGCATAAGAAACTAAAATCATCCTTTGCTCTTGAAATCAGTAGAAGAGAGCCTGTTTTGTCTTCATGTTCTTGTGGCTGTGTAAGTGCTGTCCAGTACAATTTAAACTGACCCTATGAAAACTAACAACTTAACTCTGTCCTGTGCAGCATCAGCACATTTGAGTCCATTGCCACAATGTATGAACACATCTCATTGAGGATCTTCCTCTTCTTCACTGACTCTACTCCTTTCCAAACATAATATATCTCTCCAAGGAATAGCCTCTTCCAACACATGTCCAAAATACGTGAGATGAAGCTTCACCATCTTTGCCTCCAAGGAACTTTCTCCAAGACATCCATTTAGTCTTTTGATGGCTAATGGAATATTCAGCATTCTTCTCCAACACTACAGCTCAAATGCATCTATTCTTCGCCTGTCATCCTTATTCATTGCCAGCTCTCAGATGATGATTGGAAAGGCTGTGGTTTGAATCAGGCACATCTCAGTCTTTGCCTTTATACTATAATGGATATTCCCTAAAGCTGCAGAGAAGAGGGAAGGGGGAGTCCATCTATCTATTGTTGTTGTTGTTGTTATTATGTGTCATCGAGTTACCTGTGACTCATAGCCACGCTATCTATGTACAAGAGCCCCAAACACTGCTCCATCCTGTGCCAATCTCACTGTCTCCAACACACCTACCTCAACTACCTCAGTCATTGAATCAATCCACGTCTTAGAGGGTGTTCCCCTCCTGTGCTGTCTCTCCACCCTCGCAAGCATGATGTCCCTCTCCAAGGGCTGGTCCCTCCTTGCAACATGTCTAAAGTATGTCAGATGAAGCTCCAGAACCCTTGCCTCCAAGGAGCGTCCTGGTTTAACCCTCTTCAGTATGAATCTGTTTGTTTTCTTAGCAGTCCATGGTACACTCAGTACGCTTCTCCAACATCACAGCTCATCAATTCTCCTTCTATCCTTCCTAGTCATTGTCCAGTTCTCTGATGCATAGCAAATGATTGCAAAGACCATGGTCTGTGCAGGTGAACCTTAGTCTCCAGAGTGACATCATTGTTCTTCAGTACTTTGGAGAGGTCCCTAACAGCAGACTTTCCCATTGCAATATGTCTTTTAATTTCTTGGCTGTTAGTACCAAGAGTGATGACTGTGGCGCCAAGCAAACTGAAGCTATTAACAATCTCAATCTCTTCACCATGCATCCTGATGTTGCCAAATGGCCCAGTTGTGAGAATCTTTGTTTTCTTGTTATTGAGCCTCAATCTATATTGAAGGCTGCAGTCCTTGATCTTCTCTAGCAAGCGCTTCAGGTCTTCAGTTTCAGCAATCAGGGTTGTGTCATCTGCATACTGCAGATTGTTGATGAATCTTCCTCCAATCCTGATGCCTTCTCCTTTCTCTTTATCTACTTCTATTTCCCTCCCACATAATTACAGCTGGTCCAAGTTGTTTACAACTGTGAACTCACTTATTAGAAATACCCATTACATGCGACACAGATGGTCAAGATATTGGAATTGGTTATGGAAAAGGCCAAGATTCTCTTCAACTTGATATCTAAATAAAATCTACCTTATTTGAACCACAAGATTTAAGTGGAGGCTTCATCCTCCTTGTCTCATCATTTCTTTCCACTCTAAATCCATCAGGTTGTGTAATTTCAATGTTAACACTAGGAAATAAGACTCATAATATTCATACCCTTTATTTGATATGTCCTCTTATCATGTTGAACTCTCAAACAGATTTCAAGATCTATGTCAAATGCCACTAAGACTGTTAAGTGTCTTGATGTCAAGCCTTACTCATCTTCCTTAAATTAATTGCATTTGACATGAACAGAATATAAAAAAACTTATGGATTTTCAGTTCTAATTCTTACTCATTGGATGACATAAGAAATATCATTTCCTCTATAATATAGACAGCTATGGTTTGTAGTTTATCTATTTCATTGAGGTTGGTGTGACGCTTATCACCCAAAGCCAAACTTTAAGTGCTGAGGCTGGTGTGATGCTTACCATCCAAAGCCAAACTTTAAGTGCTTAGAAAAGTGCTTTGAGCATAATAATTTCATTGTTGAGTACATATCTGGTTTATTCGGCTATGGATCTTCCAATAAACACATATGACTGGGTGAGAACTAAAGGAACAAAGGCGAAAATGTTTTGGCTTATATTTTCAATGTATCTTTCTGAAAATTCAAGGGGCAAGAACATTAAGAGGAACAGTGTTTGATTTCACTCAAATTAATTAGCCAGAAAAGAGAGAGAAAATAGAATCAGCAAATGGTCACTTATGTACATGTCATGATTATAAGTTACTGATGATAATTTGAAATCATTACTATAAGATAAGCCATCTTGGAAAATTAGAGAGAAGGAGTGTACTAAAATGTCCATTCAATTCATTAAAATTTGTTGTTGTTGTTATGTGCCGTCGAGTTGTTTCTGACTCATAGCGACCCTATGCACAACAGCCCTAAACCCTGCTCTATTCTGCGCCAACTGCACTGCCTCTGACACACCCATCCCGATTACCCCAGTCCCTGAATTAATCCATCTCATAGAGGGTCTTCCCCTCCTGCGCTGTCCCTCCACCCTCCCAAGCATGATGTCCCTCTCCAAGGACCCGTCCCTCCTGGCAACATGTCCAAAGTATGTCAGACGAAGCCCCAGAGTCCTTGCCTCCAAGGAGTAGCTTGGTTATTAAATATAAAGTTAAGTATTTCACTGTTTTCTTATAGATCACAGCTTGTAATGTCCAATTGGTATTAAACTGCATTTGAAAACCAGAAAACCTATGAAGAAAAGACTTGAAATTCTTTCTTAGATAGAATCAGAACTCCAACTTATTTACAGTTAGAGTTAATGTGTCAAAATTACTTTGGTCCCTCTATTATTATTCAGATCAAGAAACTTTCAGATTTCTAAGTCAATGGTAGATGCATTCAGCAAGACTAGTTTTCTAATTAAATCTGTAGAAATCTAAGTATGTGAACGAGCTAAGGAAAGATTACTCAATTGTGATTAAATTTTCTACCTGACTAAGTAATTCTTTTCATAGTATGACCAGCACATTAGGGACTAGAACAGAAAGACTTTATCAAACCAGGAGCGTGGTTTTACGTGTGCTGACAAGAGTTTGGAAGTTGGCAAACAAGGAGAGGTTTTTCTACTAAACGTCATTAGCCACAACCATTACTTCAGGACTGCTGTCATTATCATTGCTTGCTTCACTTGCTTGGATGGAGGTCCTACATAATCTGAAATATGCAAATCCTTTTCTCAGTACTCTCAGTATTTGCCTACATTCTTTCTTATTTCTGGGAGTCACAGGTTTCATTTGTTTCCCACGTGTTTTGGATTTGGGTCTTTGGGGGTTTTTTTTCCTATTCCATGTGTCCTAAATGTTCATTTATAATTTGGTTTTTTGGTCTTTAGATATAGCAATAAGACTTAGTGAAATAGTGTATTATGTGTTTGGATGTAAACTGAAAGGTCAGCACTTAGAATCCACCACCTGATCCTGTAAAGAAAAATATGGCAGTCTTCTTGGCAAAGGTTCACAGTGATGGAACCCAAAGGAGGATTCCCACTGACTGGAATTGACTCTGTGGCAGAGAGCTCTTTTAGAGACAAGTCTAACACACTGTTTTTTTATAACTAGTTGTTGTTAGTATTATTATTAAGTTTAATGAAAATTTACAGAGAGTTTGGATTTCCATTCACTCACTGTTGCATTTTGTCTCCTTGCCTACCCCTCCCCTCTAGTTTGTTCTTCTCTTTGAAAAGTAAAAGAAAAATTCTTCCATTGTTAAACAATCCCTCCCTCCAAGTCCACTCCACTATGCAGCCTTCATTCTGGACTAATGTCATGACAATAATACATAATCATATATACCTTTTAAACAGTTCTCTCATCTATTTCAATGCAGTATACATAATTTATCCCATATTTCTCAGTCTCTATGTCAGTCCCATTTTAAAACAGTGGCACTATGCAGTATTTGTCCTTTTGTGATTGAGCTAGTTTACTCAGCATAATGTCCTCCAGGGTCACCCATTTTGAATAATATTGCATGAGTTCCTTGTTTTTCAATGCAGCATGGTATTGCGTTGTGTGAATATACCAGAGCTTCTCTATTCATTCGTTTGTTGATGGACTCTTAGGTTGTTTCCAACTCTTTGTTATTGTGAACAAAGCCACAATAAAAATGGGTGTGCATGTATCTGCTTGGGTGGCAGTTATGGTTTCTTTGGGGTATATTCCCAGGAGTGGAACTGCTGGTTCAAATGGTATTTCTATCTGCAACTTTTTGAGCAAGCGAAATACAGCCTTCCATAGTGGTTGCACCAATTTCCACTCTTCCCCATCTTTTCTGGCAGCATATTATATGAGTTCTACTGCTTAACCCAAAGCCTGAATATTTCTGAGAGTTGGAACCACCAGATGCTCCATGGAAGAAAAATGGGCGGTCTCCTCCTGCAAACATTTACAATCTCAGAAACCTATGTAGGGTCACTGAGTCAGGACCAACAAGAATAGGAGAGTATGTTCTGAGTTACTAAGTGGATTGTCCTCTTTCACGACTGAGGAGATTTGTCCAAAGACCCTCACATGCTGCTGTAAATTTTATTCATTGTTATTTCCAGCCGGCCCTAGCAATCATACATGTAACTTTTAACAAGATACTTCAGTATAGAAAGACATTATCAAAAGAGCCATTCCTGTAGAACAGACTTTTCCTCACATTATTCTGACCCATTCTCATTCTTTGAAGACGTTTGTATTTTCCAACATGATTTTTTTTCCTGAAACTATATTAGTTAATGCCTCTAACATCATCACTTTGCATTAAAATGCTTATTTGTTAGTAGGAAAAAATAATCATAGTTTCTTTAATAAATGTGATTTTGGCATTTCAAGTTTAACTTAAAAATTCAGCTTCATTTTAAAGCATCACTTTATCAAGTTGGACTTTCTTCCTTTTTACTTCTCTTCCTGGAATGCTGTTCCACTCTAACAAGCACTGTATACAGAAGGAAAATCTGAAAAGCTGAAGAACAAGTCACTTTGCTTCCTCAGTTTCCTCATAACATTCATTGGCTGTTATTGCTGTTATATATATCATCAAGTTGGAACCAACTCACAGTTGAGCCTCTAGCAAATTTTCAGAGGTTGTGAATTACACTGGAGGAGAATGCTCACCATTCTTCTGTGGAACAATTAGTGGATTAAAACTCTGTGTCACTGGTTTGGTAGCAAACTCCTTACCACTAAGTCACCAGAGCTCCCTAACATTCTTTATACACTGTAATTAAAAAGCTTTCTAGAATCTCAAGTTAACACTATCAGAATGAGCATGTCACTATAAATAATATTACAAATATATTCTTCAATGTAGTCTGCCAAACAGTTAAGAAACATATTTTTATCCATCTCTTAAGGTTAGCTCTTTCTTAACTTCAGAACCCAGACCTGAAAAGCTGGACTCAGGAAGACAATTAGATTTCTCAAACCAAACAAACAATATTTATCTATCGTCTTCAACCCATTTCAACTTACAGGAAACTTCCATTGTGCTTTCAGGACAATAAATCTTCACACAGAGAGATTACCCATCTTTCTCCACTAGAACATCAATTGTATTGAAACTAGTGACTTTTTGTTAGCACCACAACAGATTATACACTATGCCGTCACAGTTTCTTCACGTATACATGGTTTACGGTATATCTGACACTTGAATGATCAATCTAGATTTTCCCTTATATTGACTTGTATCCACCAATCTATACCACATTAAAGAAACATATGCATTAAAATGTACTAGCATTGTAAGGTAGAATCCCTCTTTCTTCCAGAAGTAATTTGAAATGTAAAAAGACAGTGAGTAAGCACAGCACATCCTGTGGCTTCTCTGACTTTTGGCTAAGATCAAATGAAGGACAATGCATAATTTACACAAACATGCCTTGTCTAACTATTATAGACGTTCAAAGTATTTATATGAAGATAACAGGGAAAGCAAAATATGATCTTAAAGTCCCAAATCCATTAAAAAATGTTCAGGTCATTGTTAAGTTCTTTTACATACCTGTGGCACATGATCCTTCTGATACCACAAGGATCTCACTCTGCTGTTTGCACGCAGCCTGCCGCAGGTAACATTCATTCTGGTAGCTCTCCCCATTAGAGCCACACACAGGCACGTAGTCACTGTTGCACTGCGGAACACACAGACATAAGCCTATGATTAGTACTGAACCCTACTTCCCTCTGACATCTTGACCAAAATTGGTCATCTTGTGAAAATAATGTGCTTGTCTTCCTTCTGGTGGTTCCTATTGTGTTCAGTAAGACTTTGACCTTGCATATGCACATCAAGGCAATACAATGGCAGACAATTATTGCTTGATTCTGATAGAGTCATAAAAAGTACATACATTGATAATTCCAACAAAATGATTGGACAAAACATCATATACTACAGAAAACAAGGTCTATTTCATTTCATTCAATCCTATGTGTTTTTGGCCTATATCTTATATGATTTGGAAAGAAAAATATAAGCATGCTAAAATATTCAAACTATTAGAAAACTGTATATAGCTATGTTTGGAACATTAAGTATGTAGCAGAAATGTCAAAGCACCAATTTATTTCAATGTCTGTTTTATTCTATTGAATTATACCTTCAATAAATTTCCAAATATTTGAAAAATATCATTGGTTTACTAAATAATTGTTTTAAATACATTTAGACCACTAAGCATTTATATGAACAAACTCTAAAGAGAAGTACTACAGTAAGGAAACTTCCTCAACTATTCTCAAGTATGAAGATTACATATTTTGTGAAGAAGAAAGTATCACTTTTAAAACAATCTCATTGAAAGAAAAATGAACACATTTTACAATGGAAATCAGGCAACCTACAGAGTATAGTCCTCATGATACAATCACACTCCATGGCATTAGAGACACTTGGCTGTGTCCTATACCTGCTAATTATGCCAGGGATGTGATTATCCCATGATTACTACCACTGATGTGCTTCATTGTTTAATTATAACAAACGTAGTGATCAAGGTGATTATTTATAAATGTTCACCTCTGCCAGGAACTGAGTAAAGTAAATAATATGTGCACAGGGATGTGAGAACACTTTCCTGTTTTCAACATTTAACTGAACTACTTGGATTTGTCGTGTATTATAATTTCATAACAAATACATTAACTATCTAGTCACATAGCTTGGGCTTTTGTATATATGACAATAAATCTAAAATTTTATTTTAGGGAAACTTCAACTCAGGAGTTTAATTTAAAAAAAAAAAAACAGGAAAATCCTGAAAATGTGATCATCTGAGTGACAGAAACCTCATAATTATTATTTTACTCTATTTTCTTACACAGTCTGAATGATCTATTATGGATTGAATGATGGCCCCACAAAGATAGACTGAAATCATAACTCTTATAGCTGTGAATGTGACCTTGTTTTCCTAATCCCTTTCCAGTAGGTAGATTCTTATCAGAAGAAAAATTAACAGTGAGAGAAACACACAAATGGGAAGATCTCTATGAGGCTCTAATTACAAGTGTGAGTTGGTGGTGAAAAGGCACTACCCAAGGGCTACCTCAAAGCAAGAACCCTCCCCTAGAACTGATAATTCCTTTTGATAACCTTTTGAATATCTAGCCTTCAAAATTGTGAGGCAATGACTTTTTTTGTTCTTTAATTCCACCCCCTCCTGATTTGTCTTCTAGATTTGTGTCCCTCAAAATATGTGCTGACATGCCAATTTCTATACCTGTGAATGCTCTCCTGTTGAGATAAATTCTCAACTATAAAAAAGATACTAGACAAAGAGATGTATAAACATAGGAGAGGATAGATGCCATGGCAGGACCTCAAGAGAACTAAATTCCCAGGGTATTTACAAAGAAATAGTTGACATGGTCAAAAGCCAGATCTGCCCTGCTATTCTCCAGAACTACGAGAAAATGAATTTCTGCCCTTTGAATTCACCAATCACATGGTATCTGTGTTACAGAAGCAACAGGTAATTAAGACATAGTAGTAGCAAGGAATTGAAATAACCTCCTTCCCAACCAAATATTTACCTCTAACTTTTCGCTTTTATATAATAATGACTTGTTTATCCTAATGAATTCTGAACGGGATAATCAAATGAAAATATTATTTCATGAGTTTTACAAATCTAGGATGATTTGGTGGCCTACTGATAGGAGTTAGAATGCCATCCCAAAGGCACCCAGCTGCCAACACAAATCCATCAGCTATGAAAGATGGGCAGTCTTCCCCCATACGATTCAGTGCCTCTGAAAAACTGCTGGACAATCAGCTATGAGTAGATTCTAACTCGATGGTATATAGTAACAGCAATAAATTTCTTATCTACTATAGAAAAACTGTTAAATGTAAGATTTTAACAATAGCAACAAACTTTTTCTTCAAACAGTAAATCCAAATGATATCATATTCATGTGCTAACAGCCATATCTGTTTATTTATGATTTATCATGCATTTTTGAAATATTTACCTTTATTGTTATGTTTTACAGTCAAGGCATTTTGGAAGCCCCTTAAAGAAGTTTTCTTTTCCAAATTCCCTTTTGATTCCCAGACTCCATCTACTTCTATGATTATAATTTTTCTTGAAACAATGGATAAACACACCAAAATTTTATTTGATTAGATATTTTTGTTAAAGAGGATATTTAATTCAACAGGCAATTCACCTGTAATCAGGCAGCATCTGCTTTATTTCTTTGTCTTCGACAAGCTTTCCAAATATTTTTCTTAACTTATACCTGAAAACTGGCCTACCTGAAAAATTATTATCTCCATCATTTCTCAAGAAATAAGGTAAGAGAAAAAGGCCAGTGAGGAGTCAAATATTGCTATGAACAGTGCTGAAGAAACACCAGATAAATAAAATCGTTGCTCAACTCATGAACACTGCCAGAGAGGCTAGTTAATGGATAAATGTGTTTTGTTCAAGACCAAGGGCCAGAGAATACTGGTAAGCTTTATGCAGTCCTGCTAAGACTTCAGGAGCATCTGAGCTCCTGGAGGAGAATCCACAAGAAATGAAGGAACGGTTGGAAACATTATATTCAGTAGACTCTCTGATCCTTACAGCAGATAGCGGCTGTGCTTGTTATGTGCTGTCATGTTGGGACCTGCTCGTAGTTGACCCTCCAGCAGGTTTTCAGAGGTTATAAGTTGCAAGGGAGGCCTGGGTCATCTTTCTTCTGTGGAGCAGGCGATATCTGAGAGACATGCCTGTGAGTTGGCAGTGAGACTCCTTCCCATTCGACCACCAGAGCTCCTTCAGTAGTTACTGTTATTGTTAAGTGCCATCGAGTAGGAGCCAACCTATAGCTGACCTTCTACCACGTTTTCAGAGGCAGCAAATTGCTGACTGCCCATCTTTCTCCTGCTGAGCAACCAGTGGATTAGAACTATGTGCCTTTAGGTTGACAGCACAGCTCCTTACCACTAGGTCATCAGAGGCAGAAGTGGGTCATAATTAGTGGCCAGAAAGACTATTTAGCTTCTCATGGTCAAGTCTTAGCATTCTTGGACCTTTTAACTCCATCTCCAACTCTGATTACAATAGTTTATCTGTAGATTATTTGGAATCCTGTCTCTTTTTTCCCCCTACGATCTCTAGAGTTTTCTGTCTATCTTCTTATCCATTTTTACAATTTACTCAAATGCACAATCAGTGGACAGGGTGTGAGGGTAGGAAATATTTATTATCTCTGTAAATGTGCTAGTAAACAATGCTGATATGCATCTTAAAATAGCGAATAAACTGATAAAGTGCTCAGATGCCACTTTGGAAAGATGTAGTAAGCCAAATGTGAACAGTGCTAAAAACAGAGCTGCCAAGCTCCGTACACAAGCCAAAAGGAGATTTGTATGGAGCTGAGAGAGCTTTACTGTAGATTATCAGCACAATGGTTTTGGCCTTTAGCACCATGACTTGCATTCATTAATATGAATAACACAAGGAGGAAGCAAACCCTAAATCACTAAGGCTCAGGAGTGGAAGCATGGGCCCAGGCTCTCCCATTTTCTTCACCACCTTAGCATAGGAGATTGTGTGTACTATTCACCAATTAAATATTTAACAAGATTATAGCTTAGAGTCCCCATTTAAAATGGCTAACTAAGGCATTTAGGCAACTGAGTCCTGTTTGTGGAACACTTTGAAATGCCTGCATGTAAAAAAAAAAATAAAAATTAAATTACTTGCTGTTCATAACACAGACTTTAACCAGCAGAATCACATTTAACACTGACACCCAAATCTGACATTTCTAAATGTAGAAAATCAAGATCACCCTGGACAAGAAGATAAGCTTGCTATTACATCAAAATATGCAAATCATTGAAAGTAGTTCTTAGTATTCATCATGATAGTGTTCAGCTTCAAACAAAAGGACCATCTCAGATGTTAAGTGGCTTGCAAAAGGGCATGTAGTTGGCTGGGAAGGGAAAAAAACAAGATTCAAGTCCAGATGGTTAGGTCCATAAATGTATGTGTTATACAAACTTCCTCCCAAGAGGAAAAGAGAGTCTATTTTTCTTGAGATGTTTTTAAAATCTGTTTTTTAGTAGAATAATTTTGTTCCAAAATTTCCACACTGCTTAGGGAAAGCAGATACACACTATACTAGAGGCCAGGGTGACTCGATACACTAAACTATAGGGAATCCATTTTGCTACAAGGCAACTAAAACGTATGTGCTGAGAACAGATTTTTCAAATGAATTAGTGTTTAGTTAATAAAGATTTTTTTAGCTGAAATTTCAGCAAGTACAAACTATGTGAAACTTATATTTCATACGTTGCCAGAACCTTCCACAGAGTCTGGCATGTAGAAGGTGCTCAACAGATGTTAAGTGAATTCTGTTATATTCCCAGTTGTCAGAGGCTTACAAAGAATGGATTCGCTATGGTATGTTTCTCTTCCAAGAAGAATAAAAAAGATAAAATACCTGCCTATGTCCCAATTCTGTGTCCCATTCCATAAATATCTTTTACTTCTCCGTACCTACATTTTCTTAAATATAAAAATTTTATTATTTGAGAAATGTGGCAGGACTATGGCTATGGTCAAAGTGACTGTATACATCTGAGGCCAAGTGATTAAAAGACACAGTTTCTGTCGGCTGTACTATCTCCAGATGTGTCTTATTGGAAGCCAGCCACTGTGTTATGAAGAACCTTAAGAAGGCCATGTGGAGAGACCCAGATGGAGAAGAAGAAAGATCATTCAAATAATTGTAACATCAGGTCTTTAACCTCTTCCACTCCACTCCTAGCCTCAGCTAATACTAAGTAGAACACAGGTGAGCGGCCCCCAAGAGACCGTGTCCAAATCACAGATTCACGAACAAAAGAAATGTTCACTAAGCTACTCAGTTGTAGGCAGTTTGTCATGTAGCCCTAATAGTTCAGCTAATTGGAGATCCAAAACCAGGCCTATCGAATGAAAAATAAAATATGGAATTAAGTTACAGCTGAAAAAGATAAGCCTCCATCATATTTTTTAATTGAAAAGTCATCATTGATCACATCCATCCATCCATCCATCCATCCATCCATCCATCCATCCACCCATCCACTGTTTTAAAGTTTTTAACTTCCCATTTGGTTTAACCTGCCATACTGACCTGCATAGCATTTGGTATATTGATGGAATGCATAAGGTAGGAGGCCATTTTTAAAAGTGATCTCAACATAGTAACAGGTTTTTTTGGTTTGCTTTTAAAATTAAGTCTATAATAAATTCATAATAGGCAGTCAATGTCAAAGAAAAGATTCTTGTGAGATGATCAACAAAGCATAGACTTAAGGTCAGAAGTGACTGAGAGCACAGTGATGGTTCATGTAGTGTTTTACCCAAAGTACATAAGGTTGCTATGACTTCAGAATCAATTCAACAGCATCTAATAACAATATAATAATCATAAACGTCTACTTTTTGTGTTGTTACTATTTTCATTTGCATGTAAATATCCTAAAGAAAACACAAAATAGTTTTGCTGTGAAAGAACTTAAATATTTCCTTTAGGATAATCTGTCCTGATAAATTGCTATATTTTGGTGAGGAAGAGGGCAAGGTGTCATAATTTCCTCATGTTTAAAAAAAAAAGAAAAACAATCTTAGCCAGAGGTAAGAAATAAAAGATATAACAAGTGAAATGGTAGACATTAGTTTATTTTAAATTGTATTAAGGCAGGTAAAGATTAATATGTTTCCTTTAATTTTCCAGTAAACTCTTGAGAGTAAAAGGAGAGATTACCTACTTATCAACATATTTCTTTTTGAAATGTATCTCTCAGACAGAAAGATTAATGTTTACATCCTACTTCAAATGGAAGAATTTGTGCTTGTATTTGAGAATACAGACAAACTAAGAATAGGTTAAAATACCTAGAAATTGTTTAGAATAGAAGATAGGAAAATATGTTTTCATGTTTCCTCTTTTTAATCAAATACTTGGAGGGGGAAAAAAAACCCAAAACTTCAAATTCACGAAACATTTTATGGTATAAATATTGGGAAATGACTGAATCAAGTTATTCTTAGCCTGAAACATCCTATTACTTTCTACCTTTCTACATAATTTGTACTTTTTTTTCCCTTTACATTCTACCTAAGTAATCTTCTCCATGGTCTTATGTGCAGATGTTGGTTTGGTTTGGTGGGGGTTTTTTTGGTTTTTTTTAGCTAAGAAGATATTTATTTTGCCTATTCAGAATAACAGTTACTACAATGAACAAAGATGTAGAAACAAATTTTAAACATTACAATAATAGAAGTAAACATACCTAATCATGTCTTAATCAAAGTTTCAATCCTAGCCCTCCTGCCAACCCTATTTCACTCAACAATTACTTAAAGTAATGGCTAAAATATGAAAGGCATAGCTATTCCTGCCGATCAAACCTTACTAAAAGCCTTGGTGACATCTGAAAACTCATTGCATTTTTTAAAATAAAGAAACGTACATTTTATTTTGGCCACTTAAATGAAATAACATTTCATTTTGGCACATTTTGTCTTGTGTTGGAGTCCTAGAACCACAGCTTTACCCTTGGAGGGTGTTCTTCCTTATTCATGTTCACTACAAATGAGTTCGCATCTTCAGTCTACTTTGATCACAAAATAAGAAAAATAACCTGAAATTTTATGTGAAAATAAACTCTCCAAGCAACTGTAGATCCCTATGGGTCTTTAATTACTGATTTAGTCAGCTATTTTTTGCTTTTAACTTAAAGAACCTTTGAAAGAAGTATGAACACCACAGCTGACATGCTCCATGTTTCTTGTGCAGCTCACTGAAAGAACATGCTACATAGCTTAGTGCAGCGAAAGACCTTACAAACTAACGCGACACGTTTATTAAATACTCATGGAACCTTCTTACTTTACATGCCTATTTCTCAATTATTGACTGTCTCATTATCTGATAGTTCTCATTTCCAACAGTATTGGTGCATTAAGGACTTATATATGGCAGTAAAAATCTTTGACGTGCTAGGTGAGATTAACATTGACTTTGATGGTAAAAAATCTACACCAACTTGGTTGGGCCACGCTTCTCAGTCAAGAGGTTTGGTAATTATACAATGATGTAATCTGACAGGGAAGTAAGGATGTAATTTGTCAATTATGTAGAATTATCCTCCATTTTGCATTCTGATGTGGTAATTCTCCATTTTCACAGAACCTTGATTTTTCACAAATGGCCTTGATTTTGAATCTATCTTTGTTAATAAGTTAGAAATAAACATAATACTATCTAAAAGTCTATTGCGTGGTCACAAAAATCTTTAACAAATCTCAATCATTTTATTTTTTTTCTTAGAAGAAAAGATATCTAAGAAGATTATGTCTTTCATAAAAGCATTTGAGCTTTATTTCAATATTAAATTCTTCACTTCTCTCATAGGGAGTTTAAAATTAATTTTAAGATACTTATGCTTCATCAATTCAGCTTCTGGATCAATCAGCAAGTTTAACGTTTGTACAGTCCAGGGGATTCTGGGTACCCCCCTGCCCCACTCTCTGGCCCTCACATACATAATCATTCAGGTTCACATTTTACTGTTGAATCTTATGCTAGACTTCCAGAGTTTGAGACAAGAGTCATTTACAAACTCTCAAGAGTAAATAAAGGCAATGAGTACAAATGCCTGTGGTAGTTTAACTTATACATGATTGTAGGAAGGTTCTTACATGACAGAGATTGTGAAGCTAGTACAGGATAGGATAAGGTTCAGATTTGCTGTTCAGAGGGTTTCCATGAGTCTAGTCAGCCTGACAGTACCTAACAATAATTGTAGGTTTGAGGTACATGAATTAGGAATGAATTTAACTCAACCACACTGCTAGACAATGAATGTCAAGGCCATTAAATAGTCCCAAATAAAAGGAAGAAGAGTAAATCCACACTTGTTACTCTATGTCCATTTTGATATTTTTTTTTTGCAGTCAAATGAGTTAGGAAATGTATGCTAGAAGAGTTACAGAAACATAGTTTTCCTCTGTCATCCCAAAAGTACACACTGCAGCCTTCTATCTCCGGTGGCATTTGTAGCTATGGGATATATATTTTTTACAGGAGATGTATGTCTTCTTGACATCAGCTGGATCTCTTGCAAGTACTTTACTTGGTGCCAGCTTTCCTCTTAGCTTGTATAGCTATAAACTGACAAATTATGGGCTGTAATGGGAGATCCCTGCTTTGTAGTCCTGTTAATGAATTAGAAAATGCACATATCAGTCTTCTTACCTTGAATTGACAGACGCAAGTCACAGTGTCTCCAATTCTTAAACACTCTCCATCAAATTTACAGGTGTTGGTATCACACAGGAAGAGATCATTTTCTCTGTCATCATAACCTCAAATTCAAAAAAGAGAACAGTCAAGTTATTTAAAGCAGAACAATGTTACACATATTCTTTTCTGAAGTATAATCTTAAGGTTTAAGAAGAAGAATTGTCCCAAATTCCAATCCCAATACACACAGCAGCACTGCAAGGTCACTCTCTGCTGATAACCTCAAAATCTAGTTAAATGATCAATACTCATTTCTATTTTCCTCAGTCTTTTCTAGTCAATTCTTTTAATATTCTTTTGTGATTATATGGTTTTACTCTGGCTTGCATTAAAATTAACACTGTTGTTTTGTGTTTTGGTTTTTTTTTTTTTTTAAAGAAGACAATGTTTGGTGGCGTATTTATTTTTTTCTCATTTAGGATACACACACAGACACACTATACATGCATACTTATATGTATATAATAGTCTTTAAAATCATTTTTATCATTTATTAATTTTTAATTATTTTGCTTTGAGGTCTGAAACAACCTCTTCTTTGGAATTTCTTCAGACAAAGAGGAAACAAAGCCCCAATAATAAAGATAAACAGGCATAGTGTTTTCTGTGATGGTCTGTCTGACTCAAGTGAAGATTGATCACCTCTAAGTTAACAGGGGCTGGGGAGGTGCCAGCTTCTTGACAATCTGCTTGTAAATTTTTTTTTTGCTTGTTTGTACAAATCCCATTAAGATATCTAGTTAATGATGAATTGATTAATTTCTAGATTGTTGGTTTCACTTTCAAATATTATTACCTTTTTAAAAAGTATATTATAGGTAAGAATAAGGTAAACCAACATATTAGAAGCCAGAGGCATCAGCATTTCAAGCACTTGCTTTTACAGGGCATTTTAGTGTTCTTAGAATGAAACCCTTAAAAAGTGACTAGGTACATGCAAAGCGGTATTTATTTTTTCCAGAATCACAAATACACAAAATTAACTTAAAAAAAAACAACAGTTGTATAAAAATGACAAATATAAAAGTTGACAAAAACAAACTGGTTGCAAATTTCAGCTTGTCTTTTAGTCCAGGACAAATTACAATGATACACAATTTTCTTATGAAATTTACATTAGGAATAACAAGGATCTATATATTCTTTCATACAGTAAGTTACAACTGGTTAGCCACTCCTATCAAAGTTATATACTCGTCAAAGCAGCTCATGTAAGTCCCTTGAAAGCCACTTTATTCTGTGCCAGATTTAACTAGAGCATAATTATATTTACAAAGATGAAAAATTACATACACACTTGCTAGAACTAGAACAGACCATACCTAAGGGGCAATATCTAGCCATATTAATGAAGTTTAAAATGTCTGTGAAATCCCACCACAATCCCACCAGGTATACCACAGGCTGTCATGCTGAAATGTGAAGCCAGTGTGGGGGTGTACAGCAACTCTCATCTTTGGTTCCTATTTAATTAGGAGACTTCAGCACAGAGAAACCTGCCAAGCTCTCCTGGTTGAGTCTTAAGGGATCTAAGGGAACACGAAGAGCACAGACCCACTCACTTCAGGGAATCCCACCCAGAAATGGGAAGCCAGTGCTCAGGAAGGGTGGGTTCCGCCCTCCACCCGCCTGTGTGTTAACTGGCCCATTCTCCTTCAATGCCCACCCCAGTCTGGGAGGGGCATAAAGGGTTCTTTTCTCAACTTCTATCACCTATCAGCTTGGGGAAAATAAGAGTCTGGAATGTCTGTGCTGCAAAAAAGCAATTTAACAAAAAGAAAAGGAGAGAGGGGGAGAGACTTGGAGACAGAGAGATTAGAATGCTTCTCTCAATTCAAAGCTCCTTTCTGAGTCTGTATGACCGGGTCTTGAATCCTAGACCAGCGCAGCTTCACAACACTTTTACCAGAAATCAGCATTTCCCCTGCAGCTACCGTTTGATTTATTGCTTTCTCGCTAGTTCTTTCTCATGAAGTTAAATTCTTTTCTCTCTGGTTCTAGGCAGACTTTTATCTTTAATGATGGGAAAGGATCTGATGTAGGGTCTCCCTAAGGACTGGTGTTCTGTTCACTGAAGCCACGGAAACCATCCCGTTTAATATTTTTCAACATCCCTGCAGCTCCCGTCTGAGCGCAAAGCCGCAAAGGTTCTGACACCTGCACTTTCTCCCCACCCTAAAGTCCCTCCCACCCTCACCCCATCTTCCGGGGCAGCCTGGAGCAATTCCTGGGGCTCTTCGGGAGGAGGGATAGAGGGGGAAAGGGGGGGGTTCTTAGAGGTTGGGACTTGGGGGGGGTTGCAGGGAGACGCTCGGGGTAGGCAGGTCTGTGCTGCACACGCGCGTTGTTATGCGGGGCTATGGGCTCCGGGCTGGGGTTCTGGGCTTACCAGAGCAGTTCCAGCCGGTAGGCGTTTGGCAATCACTTAAGGAGGTAGGGAAAGCTGCGAGCTTCACCGGGCGGACTACGAGGAGAAGCATCACCGGCAGCAGCAGCAGCCAGCAAAAGCCCTCGCAAAGTGTCCAGCTGCTGCACTGCCGCGGGGACTCCCACAGCACCATGACTAGTTCGCGCAACTCTGCAGCAGCAAACGGCTTCCGAGGAACACAGGGTCGCGGGGGCCGGGCAGCGGGCTACTGGGCATCCCGCGGACGGTGGCAGCAGCGGCGGCGGCAGCACAGGCACCGGGCGGGGAAGCAGCAGCCAAGTCGGCGCATGATCCCGGGAGTTTCAGCAACATCCAGTGACCCAGCTCAGTCCCGGGAGTGAGAGGGTGGTCCGCGGAGGCTGAGCGCTGGAGACGCGCGGGAGGCTGCTGCCATAGGACCAGGGCTCGGGGAAGAAGCGGGGGAGCCAGGGGAGCCCCGGGGTTCGAGGGCTGAGGCCGGCAGGCTGAGGAGGGTGGAGGAAGAGTCAGCGCGCCCCGCAGTCCCGCAGCCGCCGCTCGAGCTCTGCCGCCCGCATCCCTCTGGCGTTTGGGAAGCAGCAGGTCCTGAGCCCGCCTGGGGTCACGTGGGAAGAGGCAGGAGGGCGCTGATTGGCGGAGCGGGATGCAGGTCCCGGGAGGGAGGGGTCGGCGAGGAGGTGCAAGGAGGCGGCGGCGGAGGATGCCACAGATGGGCTGGCTCGCCGGGCGCCGGTTCGAGCGGGGCTCGGGGCTGGCGCGGGCGCGGAACGCGGACTTGGGGGTGGGCGAGCCCCACGCCCTTCTTCACCGCCGGCTCTTTTAGACTCTCTTTCTCGGGCCGCCTCCTGCCGAGTGCCGGGTCTGGACTAGCGCCCGTCTCTGGTGCGTGACCCCCGACTGCGAGCGCCCGCCGCGTCTGGGTGGCGTCTCCCCGAGCTGGGGATGGTGCGGGCGGAGGCGGCGGGGCGCAGCGCAGCGGAGGGGCACCGCGGGGGGCGGGGGAGAAGGCGGAAAGGAGAGGGCGTCCTGCTGGCGCCCGGCGCTCAGGCGTGCCAGATCGCTCGCCAGGCTGGGTAACGGGATACTGGCGGGCTGGAGCGCAGCCCGGAGAGCCCAGGGACGCGTTTTAGTCGGGAGCAGCAAGGGAGATGGAGAGAGTGAGCGCCAGTGTTGTGAGATCAACCCGGTCGGTCTAGAGGAAAGAGCCTCCTTCCCTTAGGATCCTGTTTGAGTGTGGCTGCCCCCCAGACCGGCTCTGTCAGCCTTCCACGCTCGCTGCCTCCTTCCCTCTCTCCTCGTCCCCTCTGGTTCCTGCAGTCCTCTCCCAGCCCGGGCTGCTGGAAGGTTGAAGTCCTCTCTTATCAAGCTCATCTCCAGTCAGGAACCTGTGTGTGAGGCCGCCTAGAAGGTGCCCACAAACATGTTTCCTATGTAGGATCAGGATAACTAACGGCCTGAGAGGGAAAGAGAAGGCCTTAAGCCACGGATGAGTGGCCAGGACGCATCAGCCGAGCGCAGTGTCCGGGAAGAGCGCACTCACACTGCCCGGTGGCGCTGCCTTAACCACCCGCGCTGGACGCCGGGCTGGGCTGCCCACGGGCGACCTGGGCGGAGAGAAGGGCTAACTCGTCTTTTCTTTCTCTCCAGCACCGCTGGGCAAAAGGAGCAGCCCGACCTGCCTTTCTTCTACTGCATTCTTCATGCAGTTAGACACTCTTTAACCTAATGGCATTGATTAGGAAGAGAGCTTCCCAGGACATAAATGGAGAGGAAGAACATCTTCCTGTGACTTGAGTCTTCATTACAGTCGCAATATTTTGGATGCCCTCCAAGAGTTTCCTGTTTCCTTATTGTGTGCTTCTTTAGTGTTATCTCTCTCTCTCTCTCTCCCTCCCTGCACCTTTTCCTCCTCTCTTCTTTCTTCCTTTCTTCCTTCCTCCCTCCCTTCCTCCTAGACGCCTGTCTTCTTCCTTTAAAGATCCTTGGATCTTAGCTTCCTCCCTTCTCTAGTCTAGTGTCTCCAGAATTTAGAGAAGCATTGTTTTTTAACAGCATCTCTCAGCGTCCATTTCCAATCACGTCAAATAGACAGCAGTATACCTTGAAAACGGGGACTATATATCCCTTGCAGGCACTCAGGGAAAACCCAGTTGTGCCAAGCTATCCTTTTAAGTACCTTAACCTTCAACCTCCTCCCACTTCTTTTCCTTTTAACTTCTCCTTTGAAAGGCATGATCGTGCAGCACCTCAATGGTGCGATGTTTTTTCACCATGTGAAACCCATCCATTTATCTTACCCCTCCGCCCCGACTCCTAATTCCACCTCCTGTCAAAGATTTCTGAATCTTAGTGTCTCTCACTTCTGGCAATTAAGCAGTAGATCTCAGCATTCTAGTCTGTGTCATCTGCTTCCTCATCCAGATGAAGACTCCATTAAAACAGATCAATCTGACCAGACGTTGGAAGCATCAGAAAATCGGCTTCTGGATAGAGTTGCTAAATTCTTTAAGGAAAGGGGATGCCCATTAGATACAGCTGCCAGCCGCTATTTAAAAAGGGAAGGGGTGGGAGGGGTAGGATGAGGAGTCAGAAATGTCTTTCCTACAGCCTTTCCGCGGAACCTGGCAACATAAATGTAAGCTTAATGCAGATCAAGATTTAACAACTTTCACAGCACAGGGTGAGAACATGTCATTTTCCATGGCAAGGCTGGTATGGAAGGAAAATAAGTTATGCTTAGAAATAAGGTCCTTAAAAGTGTTTATGCAGTAATTATGTTAATGGAGTTGGACCTGTTAGTATTTCTGTGCTTGGCTACATAAGTAAGATCTTATAGAACCTCTTAGTGGAGTAAAACTGCTATTGAATTCTTTGCTAAGTAAATTTTTGGCGTGATTTCTAATAATATGTACTCTTCCTAAGACATTTTGCTCAGAGTGACTTAAAACTCCAAAGGAGTTAATTATTGGTTGTGACTGGTTAACAAATGCAGTGGCTTCCACAGAGGTTCTTTAAATTATTAAGCAGTTTGAAGCAGAGCCTTTCCAATAAGAAGGCTGTGATTTTGTTCAGCTTACTTTGTATTTAGTGTTACAGTGCCACCAAGGAACAAAGTCTGAAACTGGCAAGCACCACCAAGTGGCAGAAGAACACCATTCACTGAACAGTATTGTGTTAGTGAATATGTAAATAAAAATATATACATTATTTATCCTCATCATTACCTACCAAGAATGTATGGAGCTTTAAATATAATACTGAAGACTGGATTAAAATTATAATAGTACTTCAGATTTTCCCCAACAGGATCAAGTCCATTTACACATTAGAATTAAATTTAAAACCAGATTTACAAATTACAGTTTGCACTGTATATTATGATTGCTAGGAATATGGTTTAAGCACATGATATATTTGGAAAATTTCTTACTTTAAAGTGTGTAATGTTTGCTTTTGGTATTCCTGACTAAAATAGTTTCACTCATAATAGACATAACTTCTAGAAGGGATTTAGAAGACCAGAGTTAATTTGTCTTATTTCAAAGTAGAAATGGTACAGAGACTTTTTATAAAACAAACATTTTAAAAAATGTGTGCCTTCCCCACATGAGAAGGGCACTGTAAGAAGGCTACAATGTCTCCAAATGTAAAGTGAGGGAAGGAAATACAAATACAAAAATATCCTGGAATAAGAATAAGATACATAAATTAACCAAAGGGAAAAAAAGACACACTGCCAATCCAATCTCTATTACCTGACCACAAACGCTTTCCCACAGTTCATTAATGTTAATGTAGAGTGTGATTCTTATGTGTCAGACATTGTGCCATCAAGGAGAATTTTTATTCTGTCCTCATAACCTACTATGATGCATACATTATTACTGTTTACTTTTTAAAATTTTTTTTCTCTTCTATTATTTTGTGTGTGTGTGTGTGTGTGTGTGTACCATCAAGTCAGATCTAACTGGTACAGGAGGAAATTGCCCTTCCTTCTCCAGCAGAGCACCTGGTGGATTTGAACCACCTACCTCTGAGATTGCAGTGCAGCTTCTTGCCACTAGGCCACCAGAGCTTCCTTGTTGTTCACATTTTGTAGTAAAGTACTGAAGCTTTCTAAACATCACGAAATTAGCTCATTGGCTCTGGTGAGCATGTCCACAGTGTTGACTAACTTGAGAACCTAAAACCAAAGTCACAAATTTATGCTGTTTTTGCTGCTTCTTGGACTCTGGGAAAGGAGACAAACTGGAAACTATTTATGTTCTGTCTATTCAGAGACACAGGTAAGGTATGGCAGCTATGGATTTACTCTGGTCACCATTTGAATGAGGCACCACTGAGCATTCCTCTTCAACCATCAATTACCAATGGCAGCATGTTAGGATGTACATGAACAACTGTATGAAACACAATGTAAATGAAAGATTGTATAAAACACAATGTTTATGAATGGGGGGAAGATCAATTTCATATTCTATCCTGCAATTCACGTTGTGAGTGATAGGATAATAGCCATATGCACACAGGGAAAACATAAAAACACGACTAATATTCAAATATACACTCCCACATCTGGAGCCAAAGAGGAAGAAATGGTGAATTTTTACCCAGTCTTGCCATCCAAAATTGGCTGAACATGCAAACAATGTATACAAACTTTGTAAGTAAACCTGCATAAAATAAAAAGCAAACAAGCAAACAAAACCACTAAAATGTATTTGAAAGCTTCCATGGGTTAACATAGACATTATGGTCTTACTGTATTGTGAGTAGAAAGAGAAAAAATGGATAAAAATTGATTCTAGGATCTCAAAGTCTAATTTTCAGTAAAAGAAATTTGAAATTTTAATATGAATTAGCACCTTAATGTGTTAAATAAAAAAAATGCACCTTTATTATTTACCATAGACACCGTTTTCACCATCGGCTCCGTGGGAGAAGGAGGAGAAATCTCTTCCCATGTGATTAACTGCCTCTGCTGGACTGTCAGCTATGGATCGCCTCTGACTTGATGGCACACAACAGCAACAATGTTCATATGTTACCCAATTATGTAGCACAATCATATTTTGTCATGCTTAGTAGCTATGTGACTGTAGACAGTTTCCTCATTCCTGTGTGCTGCAAAAATTAAAGGAGATGATTTAAAAATTTGGAAGTAAAATTATATTTAAATGAACAAATTAATGCATGTTGTTGTTAAGTGCCATCTAGTTGCCTCATAGAGACCCTCTGAACTCTGTTTAACTTTGACACACTCGTCCATTGCTGCACTGTGTCAAATCCACCTGGTTGAGTTCTTCCTTTTGTTATCCCTTTACCTTCCCAAGCATGATTTCCTTCTCCAAGGAATAGCCTCTTCTAGCAATATGCCAAAGTATTTGAGATCCAGCTTCATCGTCTTTGCCTCTAAGGAGCACTCTGTCTGCACCTTCCCCAGAAGGTTTGTTCTTTTGCCGGTCCATAAGATATTCAATAGTCTCCTTAAACACAGTAACTTAAAGGTATCAATTCTTCTGCCATCCTTATTCATTTTCCAGCTC